ACGGCCCGGAGCGCGCCAATAAACAAATTAAAGCTAAATGTGACCCACCCGCAGCCGGGACGGGGACGTCGGCCTAGATGGCAGGTACTTGGTAAGGACTTGCGACTTAGGAATACCTTCTAGGTTAAAAACAGCACAAATTCCACCTTCCAGGAAGCGGCGGGGCCAGAGCCACCGGCTGCAGCCACAGCTGATCCAGCACCGGGCACCTTCGGGCCCGCGGCAGGCGAGGGCCTCAGAGCGGGCGCGGGCCGGGGCAGACCCTCCGTGTGCGCTGCAAGGCCGACCCCGGCTCACCAGACCCCTCCAGAGATGTCCGCGAGGCGCCGCGGGCTCGCACGGCGTTCCCCGAGCGGGCACACGGGACGGACGGGCCCGGGCGGGCGCGGGAGAGCCGTGAGGCGAGCGGGAAGGGGCAGCGGGACCCCCGCCCCGCCCTGAGAGCGCGCCAGGCCCGCCCCCGCCCGCGCCCCCCAATCACCGCCCGCCGCCGCCGCCCGGGATTGGCGTCCCTCGCTGCCTATAGGCCCGAAGCGAGCAGCTGAGCCTTCCCATTGGCCGCAGGGCTGCCCATCTCGCCACAGTCCCGCCCCCACCTCCGCTCCCCTCCTCCCAGGCGCCCGGGCGGCGCCAAGGACACCGGGGCGCGACCGCGGGCTACCGGCCCCGCGCGGCCGCCAGCGCGACCCCCGCTCCGCTCCCGCTCCGGCTCCAGCCCCGACCCCTGCCCCCGGCCCTCCCGCCCAGCTGGGCCCGGCCTCACCGTCCGGCCCTGGCGCGGAACCCACCGGCGTGTCCGTACACCCCGCTCGTGGTCCCGGCTCTGACAGCGGCCCCGACCACCGGTCCCGCCCCGCCCCGCCTGCCCCTTGCGTCACTACGTCGCGTCACCACGCCCCTTTTGCCACGCCCTTCGATCCCGGCCCAATGCGTCTGCGCCGTCCGGCGTGCAGCGGTGGGACGGGGCCGGGCCGCGGGGCGGGGCTCGGCAAGGCTCGGCTCGGCTCGGCTCGGCTCGGCTCGGCTCGGCTCGGCAAGGCTGTGGCGCAGGAGGGGCTTGGGGACCGCGCCATGGCCGGAGAACTGTCACCGCGGCCTGGGGACCCCGCCATGGCCGGGGGACTGTCACCGCGGCCTGGGGACCCCGCCATGGCCGGAGAACTGTCACCGCGGCGTGGGGACCGCGCCATGGCCGGGGGACTGTCACCGCGGCCTGGACACCTTGTACGGCCTGGGGACCGCGCCATGGCCCGAGAACTGTCACCGTGGCCTGGGGACCCTGCCATGGCCAGGGGACTCTGACCGCGGCCTGGACACCTTGTACGGCCTGGAGACCCCGCTGCCTGAGAACTGTCCCCACGGCCTGGGGACCCCGCCATGGCCGGGGAGCTCTCACCGCGGCCTGGACACCTTGTGCGGCCTGTGGACCCCGCCATGGCCGGGGAACTGTCACCGCGGCCTGGGGACCCCGCCATGGCCGGGGAACTGTCACCGCGGCCTGGGGACCCCGCCATGGCCAGGGGACTCTGACCGCGGCCTGGACACCTTGTACGGCCTGGAGACCCCGCTGCCTGAGAACTGTCACCACGGCCTGGGGACCCCGCCATGGCCGGGGAACTCCCACCACAACCTGGACACCTTGTGTGGCCTGGGGACACCCACTGTGATTCATGGCTCTCAGCCCTCATTGTGGCTTGGTGACTCTCACCAAGGCTTCAGGATCCCAACCGTGGCCTGGGGGCTCTGCCATGGCCTAGGGATCTCCACTGTGTCGTGGAGAATTCCTTGCTCTGGGGCACCTCGGGCTTTTGGGGATATCCCGCCATGTGTGACAGCCAGCGGATGCCCAGCAGGGCACAGGAGGTGCTCTGGGAACTCTGTTTTTCTGGCAATTTCCTGACAGTGAGTCATGGTGGTGCCACTCTCGGCCACAGCAGCTGTGCAGGGCTAGATGGCGCTTTCAGGAAGTGAAACGGGTGCCAGGAAAACACCCCAACAGCCCAAGTCCACGCAAGCCCGGCCACGCACATCCCCTGGCCCTCCCGGTGTGGTGCAATCTCTGGCACACCGGATGGACATGAGGATGAGAAGAGCCCCTAAAGGCCATGTCTCTGAAGGCCATGTCCCCATGGTGGCACGAGTGGGCACAAGAAACTGAGCAGACAGCGGGGTCCTGCACCCACTGGTGTTGGGGCAGTGAGGACAAGAGGGGTGACAGAGGAGGCACAGCTGGCCATGGAACCAGGGGTCTGGACAGTACGGGAGGAAGCTGTGGGGAAATGGTGGAGTGGCAGCACTTGCACCACTGGCCACTTCCGGGCACCCACAACCCCCGGCCCTGACACCGATGGGTGTCACCACAGCTGGGCTGGGGCTGGCTTGGGACTGGGGTCAGAGCTGGCTCTGAGCGAGTCCAGCTCCCTGCTGGGTCAACCAAATGGCAGACTGGCACATGGTCACAGGCCCCACACATCAACCCCGAACATCCCCTCTGCTCTCTGCCCCACACGCCAGCCCTGGAGCATCCTTGTGCTCTGCCCCACAGCCCAGCTCCAGATCATCCCCTGCTCTGACCCATATCTGGAGTATTCCCTGCTCTGCTCCATGCTCTGCCTCCCCACTGAACTGCTTGGGGCAACCAACCCCCCCTCCCCAGCCCTCCAGTCTCAACAGAGTAATTGGGCAAAACCGGGCGTTGCGAAACCTGGAAATCCCACTCTGACGGCGCTTCCTTCTAGAGGCTCTTGAAAACCAGCCACGCTGACAGCGGGCTCAGAGAGCAGCCAAGCAGCACTGCAGGCAGGACAGGCAGGAGCAGGCAGCCAAGCGCCTCGGAAGTTTGCAGGTGCTGAGAAGTCTCTGCCCAGGACTCTGCAGTCAGTGGCGGCAATGGCATTCGTCCCTGATTTGGACACACTGGAGAGCAGCAGGTAAGAATAGACATGCTGGAGAGGACTTGGGGGATGTGATGCTGCATTCCTGACCCTGACTTCACCATCTCCCTTCTCCTTTCAGCCTGAATGAGGAGACGTTGTATGGCCCCAGCTGTCTGTGCCCGCAGAAGGTAACGCTGTGGTGGTGGGAGTGGTGGGGTCCATGTCCTGTGGAAGCCAGGCTCTCACCCTAGATCCTCCTTCTTCCCCAGAAGCCACGACTGGATTTGGAGGGGACGTCGCCTGGGGTGGACATCCAGGTGACGGTGACAAAAGGACCCCTTTCCAGGACCTTTCGCCAGGCTGCCATCCTGGTGGTTGCTGTGACCAAGCTCCAAAAGCAGCTGACAGCCAAGGACTTTGCTGACAGTGACCTTGGCAGCTTCTTGGATGACATTTTCGGTATGAGGGTGATGTCAGGGGTGGTACCCCAGCCAGACGATATTCTTGGGGGACATTCTTGGACCTGGGAGCAACATCCTCCTGACTGTGTCACTCCCCACAGAGCCCATCTCCTTCCAGCACATCAGAGGCACTTACACCAGGGCACCCGTTTTCCGCTACACTCGCTCCCAGTCCTTCGACATCCTGGACATCGACCACAAGTGCTTCGTACTGGAGTCACCCACCCAGCTGGTGGCCCTGCACCTGCAGGGACCCTCTGCTGGACAGAAAGGTGAGAGCATATGCTCCCATCCCGATGTCCCTGTCCCCAAACCCAGGACCACCCAGGAGCCACCCCACAAACCCAGGACCACCCATTTACCTGTCCCTTCTCTCTGCAGTGAAGCTCAACATTGCTCTGTACCGTCCTCGGTCATCTCAGGGCGCTCCAGGGTCTGGAAAGATGCCGGTGGCATTGGGCATCAAGGGCTACCAGCTCTACATGTCATGTGTGATGAGTGGCACCAAGCCCGTGCTGCAGCTGGAGGTGAGCAGGGGGTCCCACCAGTCTGTCCTCTGTGGGGGAGGTGGGGGCTCCATTCCACCTTGACCATCATTTCACCCCCCGTGGCTGTAGGAAGCTGACATCAGGAGGGATATTGAGAGCGTGGAGCTGACCCGCTTCATCTTCTACCGCCTGGACAGCCCAGCTGAGGGCACCACCCGCTTCGAGTCGGCCGCCTTCCCCGGCTGGTTCGTTTGCACATCGCTGCAGCCCCGCCAGCCCGTGGGCATCACCAACACCCCAGACCAGGTGAACATCGCTACCTACGAGCTGAGTGGGCGCTGAAGACCCTGCACCAACCCAACCGGCAGTCACCGGTTTTCAGGCTGTATGTACTAAGTACAACCCCTGGGACACGACCCCCCTCCCCATCTATTTCATGTGAAATAGCAGCTCTGGGCCCCATGGGCTCGAGCCATCCCAGTCTATATTTATTTATTTATTGTGTCTGCCCATTGCTTTGGTACTTATTTATTGTGCCCCCCTTATTTATTTTTGCTTTTAATTTGTATGTGGACGGAGGTGGAAATAAAAAATTTTCTAGAACAGCATTGCTCAGCTCATTGCTCATGGGGAATGGGGTTATGGATAGGAAAATCCTTCTGCTTTGGCTGCTTTTTGGGTGAAAATCCAGGGCGTGGGGGGCCACACCACAGCCCAGGGACCACCCTGACCCACGCAGGACCCTCCACCACTCTGTCTCCATGCCCGCACCACAGCTGGGAGGTGACTGAGGTGGGCATCCCACGGTGGATCCCCAGCAGCTGCCTGAAACTGTCACCTCTGCCCCAGCTGTGGCAAACACATGGCATGGTGGGCCACAGTGCAGCAGGGCAATGAGTGGCATGGCATGGCATGGCATGGCACAACTGTGCTGTGGCACTGTCAAAAATAGGTTAGAAACTTGTAAAATAGTTGATAGATTGTTAAGCATGTACTGTTAGCTTGGTTGTTTTATTGTAAGAGGGGTTAAAAGGGTAATTATAAGAAATACGGTACTCAACGTACCATAACACACCTCAGTAAAGGGCACCACCCCCAAGCGAAATGAGCCTGGACAGAACTGTCACGGGCCAATCAAACTCTTCATGCAAATTAAGGATCCAAAAAGAAACCAATCCAAACAGACAAAAAGCAGGAGAAAAAGGGAGCATCTGACCCAATGAATCCGTGCCGCCCCACCTGGAACATCGGGGACATCGCTGCTTAAGAAAAACCCAGCGCCGGCGCTGCAGCATCCTCGACGGGAACGCTCCTGCTCGGCCCGCAGGCCCTCATGCTTTAGGCCTTTTTTTTTAATGATAATAAATGCTGAAATCACTGTATTCCCGGGAGCGTGTCCCGTTTCTAACAGCACGGCGCGGCCTGGCTCGGCGCAGCACGGCAAGCTGTCACTGAGGGGCTGGCCCCGCCCCCTGCCCTCTCAGCCAATAACGGAGCCAAGGCCGGCGCTTGGCTCTTCCCATTGGTGGCTTTGAAGAAGGCGGTGGCCAATAGCGACGGCGCGGCGGTTGTGGGGAGCGCCGGTGGTCGATCGGCGGCAGCGCCCGGGATGGAGCGGGCGGGAGCCTCGGAGCTGGGTCTGAGGGGTCCCGGTACCGGGGGCGGGGGGCGGAGGAGAACGGAGCTGAGAGGCCCTGCGATGCGGGGCAGCCGCGGACCCTCTGGGGCGGGTGTCTTGTGGGGAGGCCCGAGTTCTGTGGGAGTGCTGGACTGGAGGGGGCACGGATGGGCCTGTGGGGAGGGTGCCAGGGGCCGCCTGGGGGCTGCCGAGGCCTTGGGAGGGAGCGTGAGGGGCAGCGGTGTGCCTGACGGTGTGGCACGGATGGGACTATGGGGAGGGTGCCGGGGGCTGCCGAGGCCTTGGGAGGGAGCGTGAGGGGCAGCGGTGTGCCTGGCGGTGTGTGAGCCCGCGGGAGGCGCCCACGAAACGGGCCCAGGGACGCGGCGGTGTGGGAGTGTGTTGGGGGGTCGCGCTGCTCTTAGGGCTCAGTGGAAGCCTTTCCTTCTGCAAACTGAGCCGTGCACAGTTGAGGTGTTGAGTGGCATCACGCTGTGGAGGTCAGGAAGATTAAGTGCCAGTGAGCCTCTGGGCAATATCATGTGCAAAAGGGACTTTATGGGAACAGCACTGCCAGGCTCCCAGGCAGGGAGGTTGAGATGTGTGCAATGTAGTGTTTGAGAGTAAGAGAAATTCATTGTCATGAGTACTCAGTCTTTGAGTACTGAGACCTGTGTGCACTGCATTTCCTGTCATCTCTTTGCAGCACAACGGAGGAGCCAGCTGCAGAACTGCCAAGCAGCCAAGGAAAGGCTGAAATGCACAAGTGCCAAGTAAGTTAGGAGGATGCCGGGCTTGGATGAGATGATATGTAAAGGTCTGAGGTATAGCTGGCTCTCCCCACTGGGCAGTGTCTACCTTCTCTGGCCTGTGTACAAAGAACCAGCTCCTGTCAGGGCCTCGCTGTCTGGGCTCTGCCCCCACAGCACCCTGGCACCAGTCTGTAGTTACTGACACCAGGAGCAAAGGAATTGTTTGAGTGCTGATGTTTCCCAATGGCTGATGGTGTCTCTTCTGCATGTTTTATGTGACTCTCTGAAACTTTCTCATCTCAGCTCCTGGCTCTGGCAGTTTGGGAGCCTCCAAACCTGCTACCTGCAGACCACTCCCTGCAGGAATCATTTTGGTTAGTTTTGTTGTCCATGGAAGTTTTGTGACAGCCTTGGATGTTAATGGCTTGTGTTGCTTTTCTGTTGCCACACAAAAGAAAAATAATTAATAGCATGTGGCAGTATTCCTCAACAAGTTTTTGATTTCTGAAAGCTATTCTTAATCTCCTGTGTCTGGGACAACCAGCAGTGGGTTAGATGCCTAACTCTTTCTGCTTTTCTTATGGCTGATAAATAACCTGATAATTTGTTAAATAACCTGATAACTTTTTGGACTTTTACAGACCCTTTTTAAAGGACTGGACTAATCACCTGAATCCACCCTTAGAACCAGTTTCTAAACTCAAGCATGTAAGTAGGAAGCTTTTGAGTCTTTCATGCTTTCAGTGAGTCTGGGCAGAACGGGGTCCCCTGTCACAAATGAGTGTTTTATGGTTGCTTAAAGAATCACTGGCAAAGGCAAAAGCAGGTTTAATATTGAACTGAAAGCATGACAAAGTTCATTGTCAATCTTCACTCTGCTTTGGATGGTTAAAGCACATGGAGAAAAAGCAAGCTAAAATCTAAAATCAATCAATCTGAAAACAAAACCAACCCAAAAATTATCTGTGTGGAAGCTGGGGGAGGGGGGTAGGGAAAGGGAAGGGTAATGATATAAGGGAATAAGGAAGGTTGATTGAGTCACAAGATTTAGAGCAGACTGCCTTGCTAATCTGAGCACTGGGCTTGACCAACAGTTTAGGCCTGAAGGTTTTAACAGTGCTTAAACTTAACAGCACTTAATTAATAGGTTAAATGACATAATTTAACAAAGGATTCATATAGAATTTACTGTAGCACATTAATAACTTGCTTAACAGGCCTGACATAAAATCTAAAGTACTTAAGAACCAAGGAAAGCCACATTCATGGAACATTTGCTCTAGCATACTTAAACATACATAGACCTAAGGAGTTTGTATGAGGTATATATCTGTGAAAAATTCCCCTTGGATTCAGTGAAGGACTCATGTTGGTGCCTTTGTGTCACTGTTGAGACGGACATAACAGACTTAAGAAGGCTTCTCTATACTAGGAGCCTCCCCTAAAATGGGAAATGTAAACCCCCTCCCTCTGAATTGTTATAAATTTGAAGTTAAGGGAGGCTCTCAGGCAAAGATATGGGAGCAGGAATAACAGCTCTTTATTAGGGAAGAAAATGTAAAAAAAAAAAAAAAAAAAAAAAAAAAAACAAAAAAAACCCCAAAAAAGCACCACAATGCAGTAAAACAAAACAACACTGACAAAGTCAGAATACAACCTGACACCCTGTTGGTCAGGGCGTTGGTAGCAGTCCAATTGGAATGGTGGCTGCAGCCCTCCTGCAGTGTCAGCTGTGGCTCTGTTGGAGCAGGGATCCTGTAGAAGGGTGGTGTAGATGGGCCTGGTCTGCCTCTGAAGATCCAGTGGAAGAGGCAGCTGTTCCTCTGGGAATCCAGTTGTTCTGCTGTCCCAAAATCTCAGACCAAATCCAGGCAGGAATGCTTGGCTCCTCCCTCTGGGCAGAGCATCTGACAATGGGATGATGTAATTTTATCAGTCATGCAGTGACACTCAGTGGCCCATTAACAGCAGATGTCTCCCCGGAAGGAGGATTAGTTTGTGGAAGAGATAAAGAAAACAGCCCAATTAACAGAAGACAACTGCCACACCTCTAATAGATGGCAAATAGAATACATATTTCCTAGAAATCTAGACACTAACCTTTTCTGACTCACAGGCCAGCTGTGAGCCCCTTCCACACCTTTGTATCTTCTCAACAGGCAGAAGGGTTGAGCCTTGGGGAAAGGGGATATCTGTGGGAAGATGGATTGTAGGAGAATAGAGACAGTACTGAAGGCAATCTCACCCCTGAGCTGCAGCTGTACTAATTACCAAGGCTTAGGAACAGGCCTGCTCTTCACAGGCCACAGCTATAGCCAGCAAGGATGGGTGTTATAAAGAGTGGGTTAGCTAGTTGAAAGGAGAGATGGAGTTTGTTAGTTGTGCTGTGAGGAGGAAGGGTGAGGTGGTCGTGCAAGGGACAGGAAGGAGTCAGGTTGCAAGGAGCTGCCCATGAGAAACTCACAGAGAGGGTATGGAAGTTTTACAGTAAGATAATAACAGATATCAGCCCAGGCTCTGTTGACATCATTAAGTGTGAGAGTTTGCTGGCTCTGAGAAGCCCCACTCAGTGGGAGATGCTGGTCACAGCTCTCAGCAGTCCAAGAGAGCTCATCAGGATCACTGCTTATAGGGTCACAAGAGAATTTACTTTAGTCATAATAATTTTTCATCTTGGCTGCAATTCAGACCACTTACTTTGAAAACCACATCCCCAAGTCAGGGTCATGAGTTCCTGACTGCAAATGGGGGACATACCACAGATTGCTAAATAGCTGGCAATGAGTCAACTAGCTGTTTTTCAAAGGAGTTTGGTTCAGTTAGGAGTTTCAGTTTGGGAGACTGCTCCTTTGCCCATGTCCTGGTGGGTGTTGTGTTTTTGTCCTGTTGACAGCTGCTTTGTCACATGACTGTCCCCTGGGCAAGCTGGCAGGGTCTGACCAAGCTGCATTCTCCTTGGAGCTGAGAGCTGCTTTGTCTTTCTAGGTTAACAGCAACAAGAAGGATGTTCTTGGCACTGTGATGGAGGGTGCACAAGAGGATGGCAAGCTTGGAGCCAAAGCTATGCAGGACACTGGCCACACTGCTCTGAAGAAGGCTTCAAATAGATGCCAGAGAGCAGGAGGGGTGTGCCCAGTGCAGCCAGGGAACAATGTGACATTTCCTGCTTCTGCACAGGCTAGAGGCAGGTTCCCATCTTCAAGCTCTGGTCACCTAAATCCAGAAAGGAGCCAGAAGCCTGCACAGGAGACTGTCACTGCAGCAGCACTGCAGGTGGGAAATGACCACTCTCTGCACTCCCTGAATATGGGGCTGCAGGACAGGCTGGTCTGCAATAAGGAAAACCTTGGCCCACAAGCTTCCACATCCTCAGAGCTGATCAGAACTATCCACTCCAATAAAAACAGTCTCAGGAAGGAGAGGGTCTTGGCCCACAGGCAAGGAAGATCTGGAACATCAAGGTCTGTTCTGGGTCAGAAAGGAAGTATGGGCAACCACCAGGATAAGGAAGAGACAGATCTGGACAAATTCAGGAAAGCCCTGCCAGAATCAAGAAGGTCTCAAAATACAAGTAACACAACTCAGCCACTGCAGCCCTCTCGGCTCCTTCCTGCTTCTACTAGTATGACACATAAAAACCCAGGGACAAAGCAAGGAGAAGGCACTACTGTGAGGCAACCTGGCACAGCTCCAGGGGGCAGCCTCAAGCACAGCCCCACCTTGGGCAAGCCCCAGGGGACCACAAACCTGAAATCCAACCTGAACCCAGGAGTCACTTTGCCATGGCCAAGGCCCGTGGTTAAAGAGGTGATGGACAGGAAGGACATGAAGGTGGTGGCTCCTGGACACACAGCAGCATCCCAAGGGACAGGACACAAAAACCAGTCTCACGGCATACACAACTCCAAAACTCATGTCCCTGAGGATGATTTGAGAAGCAGGAGAGATCAGCCCGGACCAGAGCTGCCGAAGGCAAGTGGCATGCAGGCTAGGCGTGTTGCAAGGACCCCATCAGCTGCAGATCGTAGGTAAGTGTCAGCTCTGGGTGAGCCAGCAGCACCCTGCTGAAAACGGAGTCCAAGTCTTTTATGAGTGTAAGCTTGAGGGGAGGTTGATGCCCTGAAAAAGAAGGGATTGGGGATAATGTTGGGAGGCACCCTGGGTTTCTCTCCCACCAGTTCAGTAAGTGGAAGGAAAGTGTGTGGCTACTCTCCTGCTTTAGCCTCGAGGCTTACGCTCGGGAGTGATTTTCTTTCCCAGTCTAGAGCTCAGGTGTGTTTCTGAGATAGATATACTGATTCTTTTTAAGCAGCTGAAGCCACCACCTTCGTGTCCTTCCTGTCCATCGCCTCTTTAACCATGGGCCTTGGCCATGGCAAAGTGACACCTGGGTTCAGGTTGGCTAAAGGAAGAGTCCAAGGAAAAACAGCAAGCTCTTGTCAAGTTACTGTCTGCTGTGGTAACTGTGATTTCTCTGTCCTTGGACAGGAAACAGCTGGAAGAGTGGTTGGCATCCAAAGGCAAGACATACAAGCGGCCGCCGATGATGCTGCTTCAGAAGCAGGCGGTGAAACCATCCTGCAGAAAGGTCAAGGCAACAGAGAAGCAAGAGAATCCAGAGCAGCGCTGCCAAGCAAAGATCAACAACATATTTACTGAGTGCCTGAAGCTCATTGAGGAGGTGAGAATAGGAAAGGAGCTGCTTGAATGAGTTTTTCCTCTCCTGAAGCATGCCAGGGGATGAGGGCCATGTCCGTGGGTTGGGAACAGGTGTTCAGTGGCAAGAGGGGAAACACAGGAAAATAAAAGTCCTCATAAAGTTTTGGGTAGGCCAAAGGCATGCAGAGGCAGACCAGAGCTTGAAGGTGGGAGCCTGCCTCTAGACTGGGAGAATGGAGAGGGAGCTTTCCCCCACTCAAACAAACTGCAACAGAGAGGTACCCTGTCAAAAAAGACTATTGTGGTTTTTATCTGCCATGGTTATGTAAGAGACTTGCAAAGCCAGACTTTTGAGGGCCTCCTCCTGGAGGCTGTTGGGAGCTGTGGTCAGGCACGGTCTGCTTCTTGGAGCACACACTCATCCGTGCCATGGACACCTTTTTCAGGCCCTTACCCTTCCCCTTGCAGGGTGTCCATGCAGAGGAGATCTCAGCAGTGCTGTCCCTTGTGCCACGGGCAGAGAAATTTGCCAAATTCTGGATCTGCCAAGCAAAGCTGCTGGCCCGGAGCGGCCCCTTTGATGTGTTGCAGCTGTACAGAGAAGCAGTCAGTGCTGGGGCTGAGGTGAGTGGGGCATGCCACCTCCCTGTGTTCCCTTCCTCTGCTCTGGAGGGCTTCCTTGAGATCAAGGGGCCAGGATTTGGAATGAGTTTAGCAGCATTAAAAGTGAAAAAGTCTTTTAGAGCTGCCAGTCCCATTCCATGCTGCAGGATGTGCCCATGCAGGGTGGGCACCTGGCCAGCTGTGCTGGGTGCTGAGGGATCCCACTGGGCAAAGGGGAATACTGCAGCCTCTTCCTGCTGTCCTCAGCACAGGCTGAGCAGCAAAAGCCTTTCCTCCCATTCAGCTCTAGCTCTGGTCTCCATTCCCATGCCAGACCTGACCCATGTTCTGCTTTTCATGCAGCCAGTTGAAGAGCTCAGACAAACTGCTCTCAAGATTTTGAAGGATGCAGGCCAAAAACTGGAAGGTAACCTGAGCATTGTGGGGTTGATGAGCATGGGCAGGCAGGGGCTCCCTGGTGTTGCCAGCCTGGAGGCAACACCGTTCACAGTCTGTCCCAACACCTCATGTCCCTCCTGAGGAGTGTAGCCATGATATTTTATGAAAAATCCTTTGCTAGGATTTTTCCCCTCCTGAGGAGCTGAGGGCCTCAGGAAAGAAATGTAAGCAATAACTGTCTGCTGCTGTGGAATGCAACAGGTGCAGCTGTGTTTGGTGCATGTTGGTTGTTTCTAATTAAGAGCCAACCACAGATGCAGCTGCATCGGACTCTGAGAGTCACAAGATTTTGTTATTCATTCTATTCTTGTTCTTTCTAGCCTTCTGATCAATCTTTTCTCTCTGTTCTTTTAGTATAGTTTTAATGTAGCATTTTAATATAATATATATCATAAGATAATAAACCAGCCTTCTGAAAACATGGAGTCAAGCCTCGCATCTGCACACATGGAGAGTTCACAACAGAGGAGTGTTGTGAAAGTCTGGAATCCTGATCTGAAAAATGGGACACTTACTCTGCTTGGGCTAGGGAGGGTCCTGGCCCTGCAAGGCTCTGCAGGCAGCAGAGTGCCAAGGTGTGATCCCTGGCCTGCACTGCAGCTGTGTTGCCCTTTTCCTTTCCTGCCAGGAGAAAAGGCAGAGGAACCCATTGCTTGGGAGCCTACCACACCTTGTCCAGCTGAGAGGCAGCCCATAGCATCAACTCCAGGCCTGGTGGGGAGGCCCATGACCTTCCTCCCCCCCTCAGTCAAGCTGCAGGTTACATCTGCATCCAGGTAAGGCTGAACCTCCTGCTCCTGGCAGCACACACCCTTCCATGCCAGTGGTCCTCTGCAAGGTTTACCCTGTGGCTGCATTTCTCTTCACAGAGAAAAGCAAGGCACAATTCTTCCCAAGGATTTCTAAGATTCACATTCTGTGAACCTCAGTGAAAGGAAAAACAATTCTTATTTGCTGTGCCTGTGTTTGTGCAAAAGTAGACTGCAATATGGAGATTGGGTACCCAGAGTGATGGTGTTTTGTTTCCTTGGCCTATCAGAGCCAAGAGTGTGTGTGTGTTGGGACTGTGGGCTGACAGTCACGGGATGAGTGCAGTTGTGTGCAGAGCTGAGTGCTTGGCACATTCAGTTTAGATGTAATGTAATATAGTGTAATAATATATAAAATAATACTGTATAATAAAGTAATTAATTAGCCTTCTGATATCCATGGAGTCAGATGCATCATTCCCCTCCCTCATCAGGGGTGCCCTGTTTCAATATCACCCAATGCTCTTCTTCTCTCCACAGAGGAAAGGAATTCCTGGAAGGCCCAGAACTGAAATTTGTAACTCCCGTGCGGCGCTCCCTGCGGACCGAGAGGGCTCAGAGTCGCTACCCAGAGATGCTGAAGGACCACGACCCTGTGGTGTCATCCCTCAGTGAAATCCTGGATGCTGAGGAGGACACTCGCTTCTTCTTCCGAAAAAACAAGGCTTTGCCAGAAGTGGCAGAGCTGGAGGGCTTAAGTTCATATCCCCCCAAGAGCTCCTGAGGGGTTCCCAGCAGGAGCAGGCTGCCTGCTCACAGTGCTGCCTTGTACACACTCTCCTGAGTGCTTGAGGCTTCCTGGTTGCCTCACAGTAGTACTTTCTCCTTGCTTTGTCTCTAGCTTTTAAGTATCAAACTCTTGCTGCCCCTCAGATGTAGAGGGGAGGGGTTGGCACAGAATAAGCATGGATGAAATAAATATCTCAATCTGGTTTTAAATATTAAACTTTGCATTGGAGATGTGTGCGGGCTAGTTAGTGGTGTGGAGACAGCAGCTGTGTCTCCTGGGATTGTGGCCCCCAGGACTGCCCTCGGCTCCTCTGCCATCACACACACTCTGGGACCCCAGCTGCTGCAGTGGGGCTGCCAGGGATGCTGCAGCGGTGGCACTGCCTCTTCACCCTGCTGCTGCATGCCCCCAGGCTGGCACTGAGCTGGTGGGAGAGCGATGAGCTAAAGGGGCACCAGGCAGATCTGAATTAAAGGGGCAGGAGCTAGCAGACTTGGGGGGAGCCTCTCCTGGCTCAGGGCAGAGTCAGGAGAAGGTCCCAGCTGCCCAGGGACAGGCGTGACAGGGACCATGAGTCAGGGCCACCAGCCATCCTGTGGCCACCAGAGGTGGTAGCTGGCCATGAGTGCAAGCGAAAATCAGGAAAGCCCTGCCAGAATCAAGGAGCATGTCACAAAACATGAGTAACACAACTCAGCCACTGCAGCCCTCTCAGTTCCCCCCTGCTTCTGCTGATTTGATACATAAAAACACAGGGACAAAGCAAGGAGAAAGTATTACTGTGAGGCAACCTGGCACAGCTCCGGGGGGAAGCCTCAAGCACAGCCAGTCTCCCCCCAGTGAGAAGATTTCCCACCAAGCCTCCCACCTTGGGCAAGCCCCAGGGGACCACAAACCTGAAATCCAACCCGAACTCAGGAGTCACTTTGCCATGGCCAAGGCCCGTGGTTAAAGAGGTGATGGACAGGAAGGACATGAAGGTGGTGGCTCCTGGACACACAGCAGCATCCCAAGGGACAGGACACAAAAACCAGTCTCACGGCATACACAACTCCAAAACTCATGTCCCTGAGGATGATTTGAGAAGCAGGAGAGATCAGCCTGGACCAGAGCTGCCGAAGGCAATTGGCATGCAGGCTAGGCGTGTTGCAAGGACCCCATCAGCTGCAGATCGTAGGTAAGTGTCAGCTCTGGGTGAGCCAGCAGCACCCTGCTGAAAATGGAGTCCAAGTCTTTTATGAGTGTAAGCTTGAGGGGAGGTTGATGCCCTGAAAAAGAAAGGGTTTGGGATGATGTTAAGGGGCACCCTGTGTTCCTTTCCTGTTGCCGTTGAGTCCGGGACGGGAACAAAAAACTCCAGTCCTTGGAAGGTCTCTGCCAAACGGGCAGAGGGAGGATTGCAGGAGCGGCTGGAGGGATGGCTGGAGTACAGAAAGCCTCCTCCCCCCTCTCTCTCCAGGACCGCTGGTCCGTGTTGGCAAACGGAAAGGAGAGGTTTTCCCGGGAGTATGGACTTGCACCTTGGCTTTGGGGCTCTCGCGAAGCAGCGCCGCGGCAGTTTCTCTCCGCAGAGGCGGCGGAGCCGCTGCCGGCCAAGCAGGCGCGGCCAAGCCCGGAACAGCGGAGCCGAGCGGAGCCGGGCTCGCCAAAGGCACCCCGGCGGATTCTCGCGGCCGGTTGCGGAGCCGGCGGCAGCGGCGGTGAGCTCGGGACCGGTCGAAACGAAGGAACACCGGCTGTTCCGTCCGGAGCGGGGGCGAGCCCACCGGTCCCTGCGGGCAGGAATGCTGGAAATGGTGAGCAAAGGCATCCCCGCCGCCGCTCCCGGTGCGGGGAGAGCCGGCGGACATGGAACGGGATAGTCCGTCCCAGTCGATCGGGACACAGTTCCTGGAGCCATCGTAGGCGAAAAACATGTTGGCTTTGTCACTTTTCTGTTGCCCGGGGTCTTGCCTTGAAAGGCTTTAGAAATGCGTCTCCAGTAAAGCCCTTGGAAGTGCACTTAGGAAATAATCACCGAGGTCCTCCCAAGTCTCTGGATCAAAGGCATCGCTCGCATCCACGGCGAGTCCGTGATTTTTGGCCCGAAATAAAAGATAGCGAAGTGCTTGATCAGAGACAGGGGGTTTCGTGGGAGTTATCAGGTTCCTCCACACAGAAACAATCTGTTGTTCATCTGCGGAATGTTGGTTCCTCATTTTTAAGGAAAACCCGTCGCTCAGCAGGCTCCCACTCCAAGAGACAGACAGTCTGCTGTGCTGGGAAAACCCGTCCTTTACTCAGTTCTCGGCCTCCCGGGGACGATGCCTTCCCAGGAAGGGGACAAGCCTTCCTGGGAAGACGCGGGGACAGTCAGCGTTACCTCGCTCCGGAGGGCGCCGGGGCCTGCAGGGGTCGCCGGTGACCGGGGGCGGCAGCAGCGGCTCCGCTCGGCCGGGCAGAGGCTCTCGGTGGCTTTTATAACCCCACTCGCTAAGCCCAAATTGATTTGTTTTAGAGTAAAAAAACCTCTCACGCTATTGGTGAATGGAGAATAGCGCGCTCTGGAAAATCGTATCTGTAAACAACAGGTGCGGAAGGAGAGGTAATAATTGTTTTAATTCTTTTATCTAAGTTTTCTCACAGTTCCTCACAGCTTCCCAGGTAAATACTGGGGAGTTATGTCTATTTGTGTCTCTCTCTGTACAGATTATATGTGATTAGCACACCTCTCCCACCGATTCTCCCAGCCCCAGAGCAGAGGTGTATCACCGAAGGGATACTGGGGACAGACAAAGGAGATACAGAGACTCCATCACCAGAAGGCATGAAAAAGCACTTTATTATTAGAAATCCACAATTCTTATAGAAACAATGGTGGACCTAAGACCTGATTGGCCTTTAGGAATCTTCTCGTACCTACTAGTCAAGAAGGGACAACTCCTTCTTGTAAACATCTTTGACAGAGATTGCCTGCCAAGGGCAGAGATTGAGATGATCATTGTTTTAATTCTTTCTCTGAGCTTTCTCATAGCTTCTCACAGCTTCCCAGGAGAATCCTAGGAGGGCTATGTCTCTCTGTGCTCAGAGGATATGTGATTACCACAGAGCTGGGGATAGCTTGGAGCTCCACTTTCTCCCTAGCAGCTTGTGCTTGCCCCAGCTGCTGGACAAGGATTTGGGGACTGCCCTTTCCCCCAGCTCCCAGGTGCAGGGACAAAGCCGTTTTCCTTTAAAACCAATTTTATGTCTCTGCGGTGCCAGGAGTTTTGTGTCTCTTTTATAAATAGAAAAGGGTAGAAAGAAAAAAAGAGGAACAGCAGGTGCAGGGGGTTCCACTGGAGCAGGTGTCACCTGCAGAGCCCCACCCCATCCACCCAGCATTGCAGTGCTCATGGCCAGGCCCAGAGGCTAAAGGGACAGGGGCTTTTAGCTGCTGGGACCCCAGCTGCTGCAGTGGGGCTGCCAGGGATGCTGCAGCGGTGGCACTGCCTCTTCACCCTGCTGCTGCATGCCCCCAGGCTGGCACTGAGCTGGTGGGAGAGCGATGAGCTAAAGGGGCACCAGGCAGATCTGAATTAAAGGGGCAGGAGCTAGCAGACTTGGGGGGAGCCTCTCCTGGCTCAGGGCAGAGTCAGGAGAAGGTCCCAGCTGCCCAGGGACAGGCGTGACAGGGACCATGAGTCAGGGCCACCAGCCATCCTGTGGCCACCAGAGGTGGTAGCTGGCCATGAGTGCAAGTGGTCCAGGGCCACTGAATCCTCCCATGGGCAGCACGGCAGCACTTGGGGCGTGCTCAGGCTTCTCCATCATCTTCCTCCTCCCCACTTGAGTCCTGAGGGACCTGAGGCAGTGCAGAAAGGGCTCAGTGGGCACAGGATCCCAAGGGCATCAGCGTGTCAGGATGCCCATGTCCTTCTGCCCCTCTGTTCCTGCCACCCACCTGGTGGGGGTCACCACGCTGGGCCAGCCAGGGAGGAAGGGCAGTGGCCACGTCCCCTGAGTCCCGGCGAGAGTGCTCCACTGTTGACTCATGGGCCATCTGCGGGGGGTGGACAAGGCTCCCAGAGAGAGGCTGGCACCAGCCCCGTGCCCCTCAGGCAAGGAGGGAAACTGAGGCACAGTGGGTGACCAGCAGGGCCTGGGGGTTGCGTACCAGGACAGGAGGTGCCCGGAAGAGGTAGCTGAAGGGGTAATAGAGGAAGTTGATGAAGGAGGCAGCGTAGAGGTCTGCGTAGCGCATCAGCTGGTTGGCAAAGAGCGTCTGACGTGAGCCACAGCGGAACAGGCTGCCCATCTTCCCGTAGCACATGTCCATCTCGTGTGTGACTTTCTGTGGGTGCAGCAGCACAGTCAGGGCACTCAGCAGCTCCTTGGGGGCTTTCCACAGAGGAAGCTGTGGCAGGGGGGTGAGCTGAGCTGTGTGCCAGCGGCACAGTGCCCTGGGTGTCACCTGGATCCGACGCTTGATGGAGCTGATGTCTGGGCGCTCGCTACTGCCACTGTCCAAGTGCCTGGAAAGGAAGAGACCCAGCTAAGGGCTCACCTGGAGGGCTCCCCACAGGTGCTCGCACCCCTGCCGGTCTCCCACCCCAACCAACTCACTGGTACAGCTCAGCCAGGAAGAGATCCAGGCTCCGCAGCTCCTCAAACAGCTCTGCAAGGGCGACAGGGCCAGCTCAGTGCGGGAGCATCTCCCACCGCCCAGCACGACCAACAAAGCGGGTCAGGGCATGGCCCACTGAGGCAGTTTTGCCATCAAGGGGTGTAGGAGGCTCCAGGCCACCTCCCCTTGCACGGTAAAGTCTGTGTCCCCAACCCAGCACTGCTCACCGCTCTTCTCTGTCCAGACCTGCAGCTCACGGGCCAGCTCGGGCACCACCAGGAAGGTGCGCCAGCCCTGCCGCTTCTTGGACTTGAGGATGTCCCCAAAGATGTGGTCCCCCATGTAGAGGATGTCTTTGCCCTTCACACCCAGCAGGTCACACACCACATCTGAGGAGCCTGTGACAGCCGGGGGTCGAGGTGTGGGGGGTGGGCACGTCCCCCCTGCTGCCCACAGAGCCCAGCCAGCCCAGCTGGGCGCTTACCACCGGAGTACACAGCACAGTGCTGGAGGGGGCCCGTGTACGTCCCGATGCGCAGCTTCCCCGTGTCCTGCAGGACAAGAGGACCCCAGGACGGGGGTTACCTGGTGCCCAGTCAGCCATGAACCCACCTCTCTGTGCCCACAGGAGCCTCCTTCGTGCCTAAACAGTGCCCACCACCCCAACCAGCCCTGCAGCAGGGGAGAGGTGCCCACCGTGTCCACTTGGCGCAGGACGGTGCCCTCAGCAAAGAAGAGGGGCTTGCGGGTGTCCACCACAATCAGGTCGAAATAGGATCTCCAGGGGCGCCGTGGGACGTCAGCCTGTGGGTGCCGGGGAGGGGGTCAGCAGGAGGAGGCTGATGGCACCCTGTGCCCCCCACCTGAGGCCGCAGCTCCCACAGAGAGCAGCAGGCACAGCTTTCCCTTGTGCTGGGGAAGGCTGTGAGGAGATCAGGGAAAAGAACGAGAAACAATTCTTTTCTTCACTTGCTGCACCTGTTGTTGTGAACGTGTGGAATGTGTTATGGAGATGTGTTTACCAAGGGGTGATTTCTTAACTGGCCAGTGGTGATGGTGTTTGGATTCAAACTGATCTGGAAAAAGCTGTATCGGACTGTCTGGACTGTCTGGAAGGGCGATGGGTTTCCTAATAGTGTAGGAATAATACCTATACTATAATTCCTATAGTATAGTATAATAAAGTGATTGATCAGCTTTCTGGAATCCTGGAGCCAATGCTAATTATGACCCCGTTCAGGGGCCTGCTGCTGCGACACCCACCCAGCCCACACTGGGGACAGACTCACCTTGTCCTCATTGCTGAAGTCAAACAGGTAGGACATGATGGCCTGCAAGGACACGTGGCATCACCACTGCTGCCCCCAGGGAAGGCAGACCCTGCCTGTGCTTCCACACAGCCCCTCTGCCCCCCGTGCAGGGCAGGCTGGACGTGGTGGTGGGGACAGGGACACCCCTACTCACGTCAGTGTAGGTGTAGTCACTGTTGGTGGCCAGGAACACCTTCCCCACCTCCTTCATGCGGCTCAGCAGCAGCGGCACACGGGGCTAGCGAGGGGCAAGTCAGTGGGGGGAGCACAGGGAGGGGAGCAGAGTGGGGAGGGGTCCCTGGGGTTGTACAACTCACATCCTTCACCACGTATTTCTCCAGGTTCTCCAGCGTCTTCTCCTTGAGGCAGCCCTGCAGGAGGAACGGGGTGGGGCTGGCCAAAACCTCCCAGGGCGTGCGTGTGGGGAAAGGCCAGCACTGCCAGCACCCCCCAGCCCAGCCCCCTGCCCAGGGCACCCACAGAGAGGTGGACGTGGTCCATGGCCTCGCGCACGTCCTGGAACATGCTGCGGAAGGACATGAAGAGGTTCCCGTGCTTGTAGCCGGTGTCACAGCTGCAACAGGCAGGAGTGGAGGGGTGAAAGGGCTGCCCTGCTGAGGGAAGCCCCCCCCAGGATTTACACCTGTCCGATCCAACAGCGAGCCCCCGCCCAGCACCTCCCTCTTACTTGACATATCTGGAGCAGTTGGTGAAGAAGTCCACGAGGCAGGCGTAGAGGTGGGCCTCTGTGAGGGAGGGGGCTGTGAGAGGGGGTGCAGGGCGGGACGGCACCCCAGGGTGGTGGGAGGGCAATGGGGGGTTCTCACTCACCTGTGAGGTTGAAGAGGGTGTTGAGGATGTGGAAGCGTTTCATGTCATCCCGCTGGATGAACTTGTTGGGGTAATAGTGGAGGATTTCGGCTCTGGGGAGGGAGCATGGAGCTGCACTCCATCCTGAGGGACCTCCAAGTTCCCCCTGCCCCAGGGGTGGTGAATTCCCAGACTCACCCCTTGAGGAAGCGGAAGCCATGGGCACAGACCAGCAGGTTCCCGTGGGAATCCACCTTCAGCAGGTTCCCGTACAGGGCATCAAACACCAGCCCCCTGCACCACACAGCTGTCAGTGCCTGGGGGGCTCCCTTCCCCTTCCCTCCCATCCTTGGGACCCCTCAAACTGACCGGGTGGGGAAGGTGGGGTCGTATTTGTAGGCAAGGATCTCAGGAGGGTACCCAATGGCAACAAGGTGCTCCAGCAGCAGAGCGAAGGCCAGCTCCTCGTAGTCAGGGGACTTGTACACTGCAGGGGAAAGGGGGATGTGGGCAGGGGCTGGGGGACCCCCACCCTGCCTTAGGGCCCCCCCAAAACGCACTGGCCAAGGTGTAGTCCATGTCAAAGCCAAAGCACTTGATCTTCTCCAGCGCCAGGCTCCGGTTGACGAAGATCCTGGGGGTGACCACGGGGGGAGTTAGGGGGTGAGGAGAGGTTTAGGGCTGGGGGTGGCACAGAGGAAGAGATGGGGTCGTGTTTCCCCATCCCAGTCCCTGGTCAGCACTCTGGAAGGGCTGTGTGCTCATCCCAGCCCAGGGCCCCCACAGCAAGTTACTGGAGCAGAAAAATGGGCTGTGGAGCTGGAAATGGAGCTGCAGGAGGGAGGGGGGACAGTAAACCCCTGTCTGGACCTGTCCCCCCCGGCATGTCCACATGGCACCCAGGGCCTCTGCCCCCTCCCGGTGCGACAAGGGTCCCCTCCCGTACCGGACCCCCGGGGCCTTCCTGGGGGTCCCGCTCCCCCGCCCGAGCCCCCAGCTCCTGCTGCCCCCACTGCTCGCCCGTCCCCGCGGTCCCCAGCCCACCGGTGCTGGCAGTCCCTCCGCAGGGCCCGGGGGTCGCCGTGCCCCGGGCCCCGGGCCGCCGCCGGGCCCCGCTGGCCCTCGCTGCCCATCGCCACCGCCTCCGGCCGCCGCCGGCCGCCGCCGCTTTAACGGGGCCCCGCGGAACCGCCCCCCGGCCCCGCCTCGGGCTGCACGGAGCCGGGGCACCCCGGGCCGGTGACCCCCGGACGGGACAGCCACCCCCGAACGGGACAGTCACCCCCGAACGGGACAGCCACCCCCGAGCTCCCCCCGGGGCTCCGACACCTCCTCCCGCCCGTTCCCCGCACACGGGGAGCGCTCCCCGCGCCCCCCGAGCGGGGCTGGGGCTCCCGGTGCTGCCCCCGCCGCCCCGGGCTGCTGTTTGCCCAGCGGCGCCGCTGGCAGCGGGCAGCGCCCGGCGGCGAATCATTAACCGGGGTCAGGGACCGGGAGCAGCCCCGCCGGGCACCGCGGAGCCGCCCCGGGGAGAGCGGGAGGATGGAGCCCCCGGGGTCTGGGGGACACCGCGACCCCCGCCCGCGGGGCTGCCCCCCGAGCACAAAAGCAGCGCTCGAAAGCGCGAGTGCCGCCCCGAGGGAGCGACCCCTCCCCGGTGCCCCCGCCGAGGCTCTTGCGACACCCCCGGGACGGTGACGCGGGGCCCCGGGCCGGCCTTGACCCGCGGCACACGGAGGGGCTGCGGAGGGCCGGATAAGGGCCGGGCACACAGCCACAGCTCTCCCCACAGCGGGACGGGGCTGGCAGGAGCCGCCCCCAGGTGCGGGACCCCGATAACCCCAGCGCAGCGCTGTTTGCAGCCGCTCCCGTGATACACGGGGCACGTGGGGCTCTTATCTTTGTCCCCAGCTCCCTCCTGGGGCACAGGGACAAGGCAGGGAGGGCTGTGGGGCAGCGTTTGGGGCCCCCATCGTATCCCAAATTCCCAGAACCACAGGCAGCGCTGGCGTACGAAGGAAATCTTTATTAAGTCCGAGGTAGCAGCAGTGACAGGGGGCCAGAGGGCAGCCCCCAGGGCCCCCGAGCAGGATGGTGTCCACAGCACTACGCAATGGAGGCGAAGCTGAACACTGCACAGCCTGCGAGAGGGGCACCCCACGACTCCCCAGCCCTTTGTTCCAGGGCAGGCAAGGACCAACCTCCGTCCTTCCCCCAAGAAATCACTGCCAGGGGATCGGTACAAGTGAGAAAGTGGCCCCCCAGTAACTGCTTATCTACAGCTACAGCAGATCAGGGGGGGTCACCTGGGGGCACGTACAGCCCTGGCAGTGCACCCCCACAATGTTAGCGCCAAGACAGTTATATTTAAAAAAAAAATATATATATACTTCAGTGACAGCACTATGCGCAGATGGGCGCAGCCACCACCCCACGGCAGGCAGCCTCGGTGGCTCCTCCAGGGAGGACAGCAGTGAGAAGCAGGAGCAGTGGGAGCCCTGGTGCCCTCACACCTTCAGGACAGCGAACTTGAAGACAGCCATGATGGCAGCGCTGATGAGGCCGGAGATGGGGACAGTGACGAACCACGCCATGAAGATGTTCCGGAAGAGGCGCCAGTCCACGGCCTTCCTGGAGCGCAGCCAGCCCACCGAGACCACCGAGCCCACCTGCACGAGGAGTCGGGGCACGGCTCAGCACCGGAGCAGCCACTGCACCCCCAGCCAGAGCCCTGGCTCCTGCTCCGGCCTGTGGGCACCTCACAGAGCGCAGGGCAAGGAGCTGTCAGCCCAGAGGGGTGACAGGACCAGCATGCCGCAGCACTTGGGTTCCCATGGCCTCTTGGCAGAGCCTGGGGCACCATGAAAGGGGTTTTGTTCTCCCATCATCTCCCGAGTGCCCCAGAGACCCACCCCGAGGCTGGGCAGCCACTGCCACCTCACATTGACATGCAGGCGGCGGAGCTGGGAGCTGACAGTGGCCAGTGGCCCAGAGCGGGGCCTCCCGCACAGCTCAGCCTTCTGAGCACCAAGATTTGGGAATGCTGCGCTCACACTGAGCCAAAGCCATGCCCTGCTAGCCCTCCTACCTTGCAGTGGGTTGTGCTGATTGGGAGGCCGACGTTGGAGGCAATGACCACCGTCAGCGCTGACGCCAGCTCAATGCTGAAGCCGCTGCGGGGACAGAGAGCAGATCAGAACAGGGGCACTGCACACCCCAAAACACCGTGGGCTCAGCTCAAGGCAGCACAGTTTGGCTCTCCAGCCCCCCGGATGAACCCCCCAGGATGCAGCAAGGTGTTGGAGCCACACACACCCCAGCTTCACCACCCACACCCCCAAGAGAGAACGGAGAGGGGATCCTGGAGCAGAACGTGGCTCTCAGGCTGCTTGGAACCTCCCCTCTGCTCCACGGTAGCCCTTACCTGGATGGTGTGATGGGAGTCAGGTCCTTCCCCATGGTCTGGATGACTCTCCTTCCCCAGACCCACAAGCCAATGCAAATCCCTGCACCCCCATATAGAAGCAGCCAGATGGGAGTTGCCACCTTGGTAGCCACATCGCCCGTCTGATAGACCAGGAAGAGTGCAACCAGGGGCCCAATGGCATTGCTGGAAGAGAAAGAGGATCTGGTCTAGAGGGCCAGAGGCTCTTGGCAAGACAGAATATCCCTGGAAGTGTTCAAGGCCAGGTTGGACGGCACGTGGAGCAACCCGGTCAAGAGGAACACGTCCATGGCAGGGGGTTGGAACAAGGTATTTAAGGTCCCTTCCACCCCAAACTATTTTGGAATTCCGTGATTCTGCGAGCACTACCCCCCAGCTAGCAGCCTCCCTGGCTCCCACTAAACTCCACTGACCTGACATCATTGCCACCGTGAGCGAAGGAGCCGAAACAGGCCGTGAGGATCTGCAAGAACTGGAAGAGCAGAGACACCTCAGGCTTGTCCTGCTCGTGCCACTCCTCCAGGGAGCCGCTGCTGCCCTTGCGTTCCGCGGCGCCCAGCTCCGCCTGGGCTGTGTTCAGGTCCACGTCTGCAGCCGGGTGTGCGTCCGCCACTGCGTTGCAGTAGCTCGTGTAGCTGTCCATGCGGACCCTCTTCTTAGTGTCCACCACAGACCAGCTGAGCTTCTCCCCCTCCTCGACGTCCCTGGCACGCAGGGAGTCCAGGGGCATGCCACAGATGGCCATGGTGTAGGAGGTATAGCTGTTATTGCGCCGCAGGGGCTTGTCCCCCGAGTCCCCCATGCAGTCCCCCATCTTGGCTAGGTGCAGCTTGTGCAGCAGCTCCTTGTAGAGGCCGGAGTCCTTGTGCACAGTGTGGTACTGGTACTGCCCCCCCGAGCCCAGCTGGTGGCCCACGGCCTGGCTCAGGGGGACCAGGTTGCCGTTGGGCAGCCGCACAGCTCCTGCCGGTGGGGACAGCAGGTGACAGGGTTAGCCTGGGCTGGGGGAGTCTTACCAGCCCGAATCACGCCCTGCTACTCACCACTGTCAATGCTCGTTTCCTTCAGGTCGAGGCTGGGAAGCCTCTCCTGCTCCGGGGCCTCCTCCAGCTCCCCCAGGTTGAAGGAGACCATCCTCTCCTCCCCGGCTGCCCGGGGGGGCACGGCTGACCCTGCCTCAGCAGCGAGGCCCTTGGCATCCCCCAAGGGCATCTTGGCCTCCTCTTGCTCCTCCTTTGGGCAAACGTTCTTCTCCATCAAGGGGCTTTCAGAAGGACTTGATTTTATCTCTCCTGCAAAGAGGGGCAGCCCATCAAACCCCTTTCCACCACGGCACCCAATGCCAGCAGCATGCCCACACCCCTTGCCACTCAGATTTATGGCAGCCAAATAAAATTTACAGCTCCTCCACATCCTGAACTTTGGAAACTGCTGGACAGTCACACCTTGTCCCGGGCACAACAGCCAAACCATCTAAGCCAGCTCATCCCCTATTTTTAGACACCCCCACCCACACGGGGTGTGGTGAACACCATTATGGGGCTTTTATGTCCGTAATGTCTAGTGCAGAGGTTCCTCTTTGGGCCATGTTTGTCCCATCCCTGTGGGCAGTGGGATGCTCTGGACTCACTTCTGGAGAGGCTATGACCCCTGAAGCTGACACAGAGGCGCCCAGAAGAGCCCAGCTCCTCTACCAGCCCAGCAGCTCCAGCCTGGGCTCCTCTCCAGCTTCCACTGGTGGATGACAAACCCAAACAGGAGCTGGTCTCCACCCCCCAAAGGCAGCCTGGTTTCCTGTCCACCCTGGGCAGCCAAACCAGCAGCACCAAGCTGTGGAACCTGAGGCTGTTCCTCCGCCTCTAACAGTAAAAGCATGTTTTCTCCAGGTGAAAACATGAGGTCAGCTCCTTCAGACAACAACCAAAACCACCTTCTTGTCACAAACACGACCATTTCCCTGTCACTTTGTTTGCCTCAAGGGCTGGGTTGTGGTATCAACCCTTCATCCTGGCATCCCAGCTGAACTGTCTCCCCCTGCATGCCCACCTCCTCCCAGGGATGCTGTGGGCAGGCAGGGAGCATGTCTGACAGGCAGGAGAGCCCAGCTCACCTCAGCTCACAGGCAGCAGTTAAGTTAAACAGCTGGAGGATTGTCAAGAGCAGCCATAAAGCTGTTAGTCACACCCCAATTACACCAGCACAGCAAGGACATCCCCTCATCACCAACTCCCAAGGCCCCAGCTTGCACACATCATTGATATTCTGGACCACATGCAGCTCCAAGCACTGCTCCAGAGGCAGAGCTCCAGGCTGATCCTTTGGATGCCTTTCAATAGAGTGTTTTGGGTGTTTTTGCTACAGGGCAAGGATTTCGTCAGCTTTAAACTTGTGATCTGCATCAGCCAGGCCAAGGATTGCTCAGCAGGTATGAGAAGATTAAAGGTTACAACAGCCATGTTGTCTCTTCTCTTCTCCTCTATTAGAGCAGGATAAGCTGTCTGACACTGCCCACAGCTCCAGGAGAGATCACCCTGCAGATCAGTCAGCCCCAGACCCTGCCCAGCAGCACAGCAGCTGCTCCTGGGGGGGTTTGGGTGCCTGGCTGGGAGCAGGCAGAGCCCAGCGTGGCGAGTGCCCCAGTGACTCAGAGCAGGTTAATCCCCGAGCGAAGAGGAGGATTCTGTTAATAACAGCCCTGCAGCTAATGGGATCTCCCACTGGGAAGAGAAGTGGGTTAGCCAGAGCGAGCCCTTCCCCGAGGATGGCAGAGGGACGTGGTACTTACGGTCGATTTTCTTCTTCATTCTGGGACATACAAAGAACCAGACGACGAGAGCACAGACAACAGCACTCCCCGCCGAAATTAGGAGGATACCCCACAGAGGAAGTTTGTCAAAGCCCAGCACTAGGAAATAAAACAACGGATCTTTGAAAACCTCTGGGCAAAACCCTCCTCGATACATGACTTTGGTTTTCCCAGGCACAGGGACTCCATCACCTGCAGCAGCCCTGAGCTAATGCACCTGCCAGGGAGAAACACTGCTGGGAAGGCACCACTGACCATGCTGAGAGCCCAGCTACGCTCTCAGCCCCACAGGTCACATCCCCATCAGCAGCTGACCCTTCCGGCCCCTTCCCCCAGCCAAACCCTGTGCAGAGTGGTGCATGCTCCACACACAGCTCCTGTCTCCTCATTTGCTGCAATGTCAAAGGAAAAAGCACCTCCCAGTGTGGCTGCTGCAGCACCAGTGCTGCTTCCCTGCTCTGGAGAGGACACGGATGCCTGGGTTGCTCCCCTCTGAGCTCTCCAGCCCCTGCAGCTGCTGGGGAGGGCAGCTCTTCTGCTCCAGGAGTCAATGGGAATTTAGGCTTCACGGCATCTGAGGTGATACATGACCCACTTAGGAGCATTCTCACAGGCAGCCTGACTTTGAGCAGAGGACTGGCATCACACAGGGCCAGGCAGGGCATCAGGTGCTTGTGACTGTCCAAACCCTGCATTTGCTGCTGCAGGCAGTGCCTTATTGCTCCTGAAGCAGCCCAGACACCTCAGCCAGGCACAGGTCTGCCTGCAAACCCTGTGCTTAAGCAACCTAGAAATCACTCAGCAGTTCAGGGCTCAGGATAAACACAGATCCACTTTGGACATGCCAAGTGCCCCCACCAGCAGCACTGCAGGCCTCTCCTCCTCTCCCCTATGCTGGGAAGGGGAAGCTGACACCCCTCCAAAAAATTTTCCAGCCACTGTTTACAGAGCAAACCCTGCCAGAGCCAGCACTGCCTGCCCGCATCCCACCTCCAGAGGCTCCTCCACAACAGGAAACCCACGCTCACACCAGAAAACAGCTCAGGCCGAGTCAGCCCAGCAAACAACGGAGGTGACAGAGCCTCTGGCTCCACGGGCAAATCCACCATCCCTGCTGAGCCCTCTCTCAGCCCTGCTCGTGACCTGCCCCCTGCAACACAGCATCCTAGCTTGGCTTCTCCACCTGAAGCTCAGACTCTGCAGCACACGGGCCAGCTCTTCTGGACAAGAGCAATTAGGCTGTTTTTAGGGACAGGATGAACCAGGAGGCGCAGCCCCACTCCTGCTCCTAGCCCCACTGCACTGAAGAGCCTCTTGGGCAGCCAGCAGATACCTGAGTTTTAGCACAGGTAAGAGAAGGGGAGGGGAAGCCACGTTATTGGCCAATCCTGGGAAGTCTAAGGAGAAAGGTCTGGAGGAGTTTAGTTTGAGCAGGTCTCTTTGGATGGGCAACTACCTAGCCCAGACAGTGCAGGCTAGCCTGCCGCCTTCCGTAACCGGCACAGGCCAGCCGCCTTCTAGGAGATCTCAGCCCTGTAAAGCAAAAAAGGGGTAAATCGTGCATTTAATGGAGGCTTTAGAAAGCATCTCAAAATTCAGGTTGAAGCGTTCTGCTGTGCACTTACAGGGCGCCCCAGTGTACATGATGGAGAAGAGGTTGATGCCCACAGTGCAGGCGTAGAAGACGGGCAAAGCTCGCAGGCCGTTGGGAACAGGATCTGCCTGGAAAAACACACACCAGAGCTGCACAGAGGCTGACTGGGGGCTGTGCAGCAGCCACGGAGCAGCCCAGCAACAGATTCTTTCCAGAAGGGGTTTGTGGCCTCAGTCACCTGCAGATGACAGCTCCCAAAAGCCTTCAGGGAACAAGCCCCAGTCAGATGGCCCCGGCTGGGAGGGCAGGAGGCAGCACAACTCCTGGATCCCTCCCACATGGAACCCCAAGGGTTCCAGCACTCCCAAGCCTGGAACAACTCATCTCTATCTGCCTTCTGAACCCTCTCCCTGGCTCCCCAAAGTGCCACCTCCACTTACATTTTTCTTTCAACTCCCCAAGAACTTTCAAAGCTTTTACCCCTTTCCAGCTGACTTGAACAAAATAAAAAGTCCATTAGTCACAAAGGAGATTATTTGACCACATACCTGGCAGCAAGGCCCTCACCCCAGCAGCAGGGGCGTTTAATCCCCACTGCTGCCCAGCGATTGGGATTTGGCATCAGGACAAGCACACCAAGCCTCCCTGAATGCCAAGCAGCACGGAGCACCAAGAGGGAGCATGACAGGGCCAGCCACGCTTTGGGAGACTGGTTACACAAGGTTACTGTGACAGTGCTGCCGCTGAGCTGTTTTAAAGGCTGCCAGCGATAAGATCTTAACATCTCTTCAATCACTAGAGGTAAAACTCAATGGAATTTAACCTCAGATAGGCAGAAGAAAATGCTGGAGTTTCTCTGCATAGTTGGGGGTCTCAGGAATGTGGTTTTCCCAGCCTCAGGAACAATTCTGTCCCTCCTAGCTGAGGAATGCCATGGCTGTGGATAACTACCTTCACTTGCAGCCTACCCCATGGAAAAAAAAAGTCCCTTACAGGATTTTGGAAAAGCCCAGCTGACAGCTCTGCTCTTATCAATTCTGAGCTGCTTCATTACTGGGAAACAGGCTGTTCCTGCTGAAGCCAGGCAAGACAACTCCCATGTTTCAGAGGGGAGGTGATGCCCCAAAACCCTCCAAGCCCACTCTGTGGAGTGGCCACAGGCCCCATTTTCCCACATCTTCAGCTCCCAAAGGGCCCCCTGATGCCAACACTCCAGGATGTGCCAGGAGAAACCCTGGTGACCATAAGCCAACCAACGAGTCCACTGAGAGCAGCCCAGAGCCCCAAAGCATCAGAAAACAGGGCAGACAGCCCTTACCTTACAGAGGATGAACCTCTGGACGAGGAAGAACAGGATAGCAGACATGATGCCCGAAAGAAGGGGTGAGATGAACCAGGACAACACTAGAAAGTGGGAGGCACAATCAGCATCCTGCTGCTGGGACAGGAAGCCCAGGGACACACGGGCTGCATGGCTGGGGTGGTCCTGCCAGCTGGACTTACCAATCTTCAGCAACTCAGACCACTTGACACCTTCTTGCCCTTGGGCCACCAGCGAGAAGCCAATGGTCGCTCCAACGATGCAGTGGGTGCCAGAAATGGGGAGCTTCAAGAATGAAGCCATCAGCTGCCACACAGCAGATCCTGGAGGAGAAGCAGCCTACTAAGAAAGCCATCACCAGGGCACCTGGGACACAGTGCCCCTGCTGTGACCTCCCTGCTCCTCACCAGACATGGCGCTGATCGAGCCTGCCATCAGCAGCTCCTGCGTGGAGTTGTACATCTCCACGTCGATCAGACCCTTGCGGATGGTCTCGCTGACCTTGGCTCCCAGCAGCACAGAGCCCACGGTCTCAAAGATGCTGGCCAGGATGCAGGCCTGCCGCAGGGTCACCACCCCCGAGCCCACGGCCGTGCCGAACGAGTTGGCCACGTCGTTTGCACCGACGGAGAAGGCCAGGACGAAGGCAATGATGAAACCCAGGACCAGCATCCAGAGGAAGTCAGCCATGGGGGCGGTGAGCACGGCGGGGGTCGGCTCCATGGCGGGGGCGGGGCGATGGGTTAATAAATTAGGTACAAAATTAAATAGAGGGGTCGCTATAGGGCTCGGGGGGACCGCGGCGTCCTAGGGGCCCGCGGGTGGCAGGGGCTGGGGGCCGGCTGCCGCGCCATGGTCCGCGCCGCTCTTCATCCTGCGGGAAGGACAGAGCTCACTCAGCAGGGCGAGCACCGGAACCGGCCCTTCCCGCCGCCGGTAACGGCCGCTCCCGCGCGCCACCGCCCCCTCCCGCCGCCATGCGTGTGCGCGCCCGCCCCTGCCCGTCACCGCCGCTCACCGCCGCGCCGGGCCGCGCTAACCGGGAAGCCCCAGATGCGGCGCGGTGCCGCCTCGCTGCCGCTCGGCCCCGCGGTGCCGGTGCCCTCCCGGCCCGTGCCCGGTGCCCGCCGCCCCGACTGACGCGGCCACAGCGCCCGGCGCCTTTAACACCGCCCTCCGCCCCCACGTGACCGCAGCCCCGCCCCCCGCCGGCCCGGGTCCGCCCTCGCTGCCCATTGGTCCGCTCGCAGAGGGGAAGGGCGGGGCCGCGCCGCCATTGGGTAGCGCCGAGCACGGAGCCCGGGCCGGCCCCGCCCTCCCGCGCGGGCAGCGCGCCTGAGAACCACGTGCGCGCCCGGTGTGCGCCGGGCGGAGCGACGGCACCGGCACCAACACCAACACCAACACCCACACCCACACCCTCCCCCGTACCCGTGCGGCATGGCCCGGCCCGGCACCGGTACCGGTATGGCATGGTACAGCACTGGCACCGGCACCGGTACCGGTACGGCATGGCCCGGCACCGGCACCCACTCCGCATGGCCCGGCCCGGCACCGGCACCGGCACCAACACCCGTACCCGTGCGGCATGGCCCGGCCCGGCACCGGTACCGGCACCGGTACGGCATGGCTCGGCCCGGTCCGTCATCGGCACTGCCACAGCACTGGCATGAGAATGGCATGGCCCGGCCTGGCCCCGGCACAGCCCAGCCCGGCATTGGGCTGACTCGACTCTGGCACGGCCCAGCACTGGTGTGGCACGTCGTGACACAGATGTGTGCTCTGCCCTGGCATTGTCTGGCTCAGCCCTGCACGGGTGTGGCCTTGGCTGGGCTCGGGCACATCTGGCACGGGTTGCCGCTGGTGTGGGCTCTGCTCTGGTGTGGCATGGGCACAGCCTGGCATGGGTGAGGGCCCAGGCTGGGCTCCAGCCCAGCCCAACACGGTTTGGCGTGGGCGTGGGTCTGGCCCATATGTGGCACAGCTCTGCTCAGCTCCAGCGTGACCAGCCTGTGCCAGGCACAAAAACAGGCAGGCACTGAGCTGCTGGCACTGGGCTGGCACTCCAGCGAGGCTCAGTCCCTCTGCAGCTCTGAACTGGCATCACGCACGGGCCTGGTGCCTGCCCAGGGGCACCCACAGCCTCAGCGGGGGCCACACGTGGGGACTGAACAGCTCCCACCAGGATCACCCACAGCTGAGTGGCGGCAGCTCAGGGGATCCTGCAAGGTCCCAGGAGGTCCTGCAGGGTCCCCCCAGCCCGGGTGGCACAGGCAGGGCTGAGCCCCTCAGCGTGCAGTGTCTGTGGATACGTGTGCACGCACAGCCCCACACGTGTGCCCCGAGCAGGGGGAGCCCAGCGCCCGTTGCCAGCCTGGGGTGATCATTGCCCAGCAGGAAGCACGGCTCAGTGGCCAGAGGCCCCGGGCAGCTCCGGGGCAGCCTCACAGGAAGCTGGGGTGTATGGCAGGGCTGGTGCCACCGCACGGGTCAGCGGCTGGGGCTGGCCAGGCCGGGCAGCGCGCGCCATCCATGGGGACACCGGTGACAAGGGGCTGCGGGTGGCTCCGGGTACGGGGGGAAGTGGCCAGGGTGCCCCAGCCCTGCTGCATGGCTGCCCCTGCGTCACCGGGCAGAGTCCGTCCTGTGTCCCCACGGGCCCTGTGTCCCAAGCCACGTGCAGCCCTGGGTGCACAGAGCCACCACACAGCCCAGGCTGGGCCTGGCAGGGTAGGGAGGGATGGGCACCTGGGCACCCCTTGCCACTCTCAGCTCGCCAAAGATGAGCAGGGGTGACCCCACACCTTTCCCCCGTGCCCACTCCACATTCCTGTAACCTCTGGGTGTCCCCATCTGCCCTAGGTGCGTGAGCTGGAGAGGAAACGGTGGCAGGAGTCCCTGGATGAAGCTTGGTAGGATCCATGTTCTGGGCCCTCAGACCCCATAAGCCTGTACCCCCAAAGCTGAGAAGGGATCCAGGTGTGCCTACACCCCTGCAGGGGTAGAGGCAGGTCTGAGGAGCAGTTCTGGGCACACAGGGCAGCCACAGGCACATGGGGTGCAGCACCAAACATGGGGCACGGCACAGAGCGTGCAGGTGGAAGGAAGGGTGTAGCCCTGAGCCTTGAGGGGGTACAGAGGGGTACAGAGCCTTGCACTGGGGAGCAACATTGATCACAGAGCTGAATAGAGGGGCGCAGGGCCAAGGTTGTGCTGGGAAGGAGCAGGCTGGGTGGCTCCAGGACAGTACTCTGAGGGTTCCCAGCACTGGGAGGGGATCCTCAGACCTTTGTCAGCTTCACTCACACAGTGAGCCCCACCCCTGAGCAGTGGGACTGTGACAATGGAGGCAATTAAAGCAGTGAGGCAGCGCTCCGGGAGCTGCTGGGAAACGCCCTGGGAAACACTCCAGCCTGTGGCCATCTCACCTACAGAGCCAGGGGCTACATCCCCCCGCCCCAGTAACACCAGTAAGTCTGTAACTCCTGCGCTGGGAGCCTTTGATGGACGCTGAGTGCGCCCTGAAATCCACCTGCTTGGCATCACCACTGCCAGTCCTGGTGCTGGCTTTGACCTGCAGGTCCCTGCATGTGCCCTGGTGTTCAACAGCATCACTGGGCATCCCAACACTCATTGGCACCTCTGGACCTCTTAAGTGTCACCAGCAGTCTCCAAAACCCCCAGCACTGCAGCTGTTGGCATCCCTGCCTACCTGGGCTCCACTCCTGACTGATCCTCTTACTTCATCTTGTCCTACTCGGTTGTTAATTGGTAATAAATTAATTTTCCTGAGTCAAGTGTTTTGCCCATGACTTAACTGTTGAATGATCTCTCTCTCCTTACCTCACACTGAAAGTTGTTCCACTGCTCTCACCCCTGCCACATGTGCCTCCATGGCCCCTCCCTGTGTCACCAGCTGGGCACTGTAAGTGTGGTTGTGCTCCATGAGAACCCACACAGTCCAGATTCATGAACAGTTTGGTTTGTTGGAGCAACAGGAAAGCAGATTCAGAATAAATCATGAACCACAGAGTGTTAATATGTCGTGACAAAAGGTATAGAACAGAGTAGATATAAAATATTCCTGGGTCTATGAGTTTCTGGAGGCTGGGAGACAGTGCACCAAGGGAACTCCCAAAGGCATTGCAAGTCCCCACCCCCTGGACCCTCTCTGTCCTCTCAGCTTTGCTAACACTTTGGAGTGGCCTTCATCCAGTTCTTCCAGTGTCTGCCTTTACTCCTTGTTCCTGGGGATTCTTCCAATGTGCTCCCAATTTCTCTTGTGCTCTGGCCAGGGATGATCTGACTGGGGCAAACACAGTCCCAGGGACTCAGCTGGCAGGCAGAGCTCCACAGGGGACACCTGCACAGGCAGCCCACCTTTTCCTGGTGTTCCAGTAAGCTGGGATGGGAAAAGCTCTGCCAAGGTCAGCCCCAGCTCACCCATCAAGCTCCTTTCCTTGCCAGGCATTTCTCCAGGAGATGGTGCCCAAGCACATGGAACAATCTCACCTGCAGGGGAGACCCCTTCCACTCACTGCGTGCTGGTGGATCACTGGCAAAGGTATTAGTGAAAACAAACTTGAGTCACATTGTGGATAAGGTTGAAAACGACAACAGTGGGATCATCTGGTCCCACCTCCCTCAAGCGAGGTCAGCCAGAGCACATTGCACAGAACTGGAATATCACAAGTGGGTGAGGCTCCACAACCTGGGCAGTCTGTTCCAGTGCGTGGTCACCTGCATAGAGTTCTTCCTCACATTCGGGTGGAATTAATATGAATTTGCAAAAACACAACAAAGGGTCATGTCCAGGGTCACTGTATTGCTTACAGCATGGATAATACATACAGTGAAAAGCAAATTAGAATCAATTAGAATCAGTGGCATTGTAGGGCTCCCCACAGCCCCTCAGCACCCAGGGGACCCCCAGGCCCTGCAGTGGCACCCATGTGGGTTTGCTGCCAGTACAACACAACTGATTGTGCTGCTGCTCTTTATTTATAAATATAAATATTCTGCAAACATTCTGCTGGCTCCTGAGCCCTCTGAGCTGGTTCAGGCAGCTGCAAGGCGCCTGTGGACAGAGGAAGCTGCTGAGGCATGGCTGGGTGGGTGTGAGGATGCGGAGCAGCCTGGGCACCCCACGGGCCGTGGGCACCCCCCGTGGGCACAGAGAGAGCTCTGGGCAGAGCACGGAGTGCCAGCCCACAGCACCAGTATCCACAGCGACTTACTGGGCACTCAGCTCAAAACACCCCCAGCTGCCTCAGCAGCTCCCCTCCGCCCCACCAGCTCACTTCCTCCTCTTCCTCCACACATGGAGCACACAACACAGCACCATTCCCAGCAGCATTGAGCCAAGGATGGCCACAACGCCTTCGATGCAGTATGTCTGGAAAGAATTGGCATCCACAGCATTTGTGTCTGCCCTGCCCAGCACGACGTCGGGGTCTGTCCCGCCGTCCGCCGCGCCCGGCTCTGCCCCGCTGCTCCCGGCCGATCTCCTGCTGACAGCACTGCTCAGGCTCAGGCTCTTCACACCTGCAGGACCAATTGTGCACCTCAGCGTGTCCTGCACACCTCTGGCCATCTCACCAGAGGGCTGACATCGCCAGCAGATGTTCTTTCCCACTTCACTAGCAGCTCTGAACAAGGGAACGTTTCCACGGGTTCAGTAGAAACCAAGGGAGCTCCCAAAGGCCTTGCAAGTCCCCACTCCCTGGACCCTCTCTCTCCTCTCAGCTTTGCTAACACTTTGGAGTGGCCTTAATCCAGTTCTTCCAGTGTCTGCCTTTGCTCCTTGTTCCTGGGGATTCTTCCAATGTGCTCCCAATTTCTCTTGTGCTCTGGCCAGGGATGATTTGGCTGGGGCAAACAGTCCCAGGGACTCAGCTGGCAGTACAGACTCTGGACCACCCTTGCAGCTCACCAGTACCCCATGGAGGGTCCCTCAGTGACGGTCTGAGTGTGGGTGGGGGGTCCACATGCACCTGAAACCTCGGCTGCCCGGTTGTGCTGCTCAGGAGTGACCTGTACCCACCTCCTAGAATCATCTTCAGCTCCCCCAGGATTTCATGCAGCACTTTGGACGTCTCCACGGAAGATTGTGCCTCTCCATCTTGATACTCTGGACCTTAATGCGAAGAACAAAGTTGCATTTTGCCCCCAGCAAACCTGGGAGCAGCCCT